GTCATCACCCGTAGATTTAGAATCAAAGACAGCAATCCGACGCCAAATCACACACACACACACACACACACACACACACACACACACACACACACACACACACACACACACACACACACACATCTATATATATATATATATATAAGAATGATTAGCGATCTGCCATTGTAAGCAGGCATACACGGAAATGAGCAAGAAGTCAGAATATATATATATATATATATATATATATATATATATATATATAAACCTACCAAGGTTTCATTAAGCGGATCGTCAGGGAAGGCATTCCCCTGACAATCCATTTAAGTGAAACCTTGGTAGGTTTGTCTGGCTCTTTAGGTTTAATTAGTTCTGCTTACCGTATTGAGCACATTATTTAGTTATTTTGCTTACTCGCATTGGGTTTTTTTTTCTTTAGCCTTTGGACTTGCATGCTAGACGATTATTTTCGTCTAACGTACATGTTCTTGGTTCTTTCTTTTTTATACCTTTTTTTTCTCTCTTTGGTATTAGTTTGATTATTCGCAAATCAAGACTCTGAAGGTTTTCCTGACGAGTATAATTACTTATACTTCTAAGATTATTATTACTAATATATATATATATACTCATTACTGCCTCATGTTTCGGTAGCATTGTCCATAGTTCCTTGATAAAATTCAAAGAATCAGCAATATTATTGGTCCTGATCTGACGTTCTGGCTTCTTTGACTTTCCCGCCGCCATAGGCATGCTTCCCTGTGACTTTTAAAAAAATAGTTTCACGGTAATTGCTCAGTTGATCTCTTCGCAATGATACCGTGACTTTTTGAATTTAAGCAGCGTACTAGTCTGGTGACGAGTGCTCAATTTCTAGTTGAGCCGGCTAGCTGTAACCGTAAGTTATATGCTAACATTTTCTTTCCCGAACTCGTGGAACTCCCTTCCGACTCTATACTTTCCAGCCAACTTTAATCTGCAAAAATTTAAATGCAATGTCAATCACTATATACTGGCTTCTCCCTTCTGAGTAATATTCCTGTTTCTAATTATATATATATATATATATATATATATATATATATATATATATTGATGCATTCATTAAATAATATAGACAAGTTTTTGTCTATTTATTTTATTCTTTTCATATCGTCTGATAAGCGTAATAACATTATCATTAAAAGAAAGAAAATCACCATATTGATAGATATTTTTTAATCCTATCTCAGCTTTCGGCTTACATAAGCCATTATCAAAGATGACATATTACATTACAAATTATTAAACAATACGCGGACAAAACAATAATGAGAGTCTGTTTTTGTTTGCATACAAGATTTCCAAGCAACGACAAGCTCGTGCATACGAGACGCTGGAAACGAAAATCCCACCGCAGGTCATAACGTCACACATGACCACGCGAGAGTGAAATCGAGAAGTATTAAGTATGGGAGGCCGTTGGTATAAACCAATGGCTTCTGTTATCAATTATAGGCATTAAAGAATATTTGTGGAGATTTCGTAGTTTATTTTGTTTAGGTTAGGTTTCATCTGTTTTATGTATATAGCTTCAAGAATTTTTAGTTTTTGTTTATTGTTTTCATCTTTAAGTATAGTAGTATTTTCAACGATTCAACGAAGATGTATGCGGCCAGTCATGTTGTTTCAAATGCCTAAAAATGTTAGAATTATGATTCAAATGTAGAGTCAAGCGTTGTGAAAGCGAGTTTTGGCGTGAGCAATATAAATATTATTTAATCCGTTTATATACATACACATATATATATATATATATATATATATATATATATATATATATATATATATATATATATATATATACACTGGCTGGTTGCTCGTTTCCATGTATGCCTGCTTACAAGGGCAGATCGCTGATCGTTCTTGCATACTGTAGTATGGTTCTCAGGCAATTTCAACAGTGCCGCACGCTGGGATACCCCCAGGTCAGTAACATCAAGAAGACAACCTCCTGAAAAATGGTGAGATTCAAACCCGGATGTCAGAGTCAAAAAGCGAACTATTCGGCCATGCAGTCATATAATATATACATACAATATACATATACACTTACACGCATATATATATATATATATATATATATATATATATATATATATGTGAAAAGTGAATATAAATATAAATAAATATATATATATGTATAATTATTTATATATTATATGCGCGGTACTTATTAGAAAGCGCTCAATATCAGAGATAGAGCTAACATATTTGGTTGGATAGATGTGAGTTTGTGACCCTGGGTTTCACGCTTTAAGCGATCGTCAGACAAACTTTCATTCAACAACAGGAAATATTCGAACATACTTGCGTCCGTCGGGACACTTTCTACATACATATGGCAGCAAAAAGACAAAACATCACACCAAAAACAATAAAAAAACATTGGGAAAACATATGTCCACGAAAAAATTACGAACACAATATACAAGGCCCAAACAACAACACTATGCACTACATCGGTGCCCGCCGAAGGTCCATTCAAGATGAGGAATAACAATCACAACCTTTCATTCAACAACAGGAAATATTCGAACAGCACAACACTTTCTACATATATGGCAGCAAAAAAAAAAAACTCACACCAACAATAAGTTGGGAAATATTGAAAAAGCCCCTGCCTACAACAACATTACGAAAAAATGCCTACTTTGCCTACACGAAAAGTAGCAATAATATCACACAAACCGCAAAAGAACTTGCTAAACAAAAAATCAGAGATAATCTCCAAATGTAGGCATGAGAACAAGTATCTATTATCCGAATTCATACCAAACGGATAAAACAGACAAACCACCAACAATCACAATTTAATTTCAAGATACCATCAAAATAATTGCACCTATCATTATTATAATTGCACCACCATTAGTAATCACTTTTACCACCTTACAATATCTATTAACTATCAATATTATCATTACCACCTACACACAGCACCATCACTTACACATCACACCCACTATTAACATATAATCCACTACAATCTTTATTACCCCCCAGCATATTTAATACTTTAAAACAATATGATCAGATATAATTTCCATATGTAACCATGAGAACAAACACCTATTACCAGGCAGCTTTAATATAATAATAATAATTTTGTAATTAAAATTATAGCAATCTTCAACTACCATAATTTTACATAGAATACCTATTATCAGGATTTATACCAAAATAAATTAATACATATAACAAAATAAAACAAAAATAAAACACCAACAACCACTTTTTTAGTTCAAGCTACCACCACTATAACGACATTCATGGTTTTATCATTCTCCCACCACCGTTACTAATCATTTCTACCAATCTGCAATTTCTTCCAGTTTGCAATAACTATTAGCTAAAACCTAAATAGCATTGTCTCCAATCCTTTTGAAACATTACTATCACATCATATCATATAAACCCGTTATTAAATTAAACATCACCATATAAATTAAACAATAAGGATTACAATTTTTACCTGTTACATATACACAGTCACCAAAAAACAAAACAAATAACCAGCTTTAAATATAACAAATAAAACCCCATTTTTTTTCAAAAATTTAAAATAAATATAAATAATTTAATAATAATTTTTACCTATCAAAATTTTACACAAAACCCCACCACACATATATACATGCGAGAAAATATTTTTTCAAATATTTTTCAACGGAAAAAAAAAAAAAAAATTCATAATATGACATGGATACATTCACGAGACAATAACGAGACATTTCCGCCACACTTCCAATGTTTAAATTTCAACATTTCAACATACAAATGCGTATGTATAGACATTACACCACCCGTATACATACATGTGTCATAGCCGAAACTGTCTACATATGTTTATATATATGTATGAGTCCTGACGGACGACCAAGTATGTATATGTATATGTGTCTGCATACATCGATGTTTGCGTTAGTACGATGAATGACAAAACGACGAAATCTCCCCCACCACTTCCACAATAACACCAATACACGCAATCTACATAAACCCAAATTTTTTAAAACAGTAATCAGTTTGTCTGACGATCGCTAAAGCGTGAAACCCAGGGTCACAAACTCACATCTATCCAACCAAATATATATATATATATATATATATATATATGTGTGTGTGTGTGTGATATATATATATATATATATATATATATATATATATAAAATATATATATATATATCTTTGTATATAACACAAAACATATATATAAAACATATATGTATATATTTTTTATTATTATAACCATTATTAAAAACGTTTATAAAATAAAATATGTATATATATGTATGCAAAATTTTTATAATAATAAAAAAGAACACACACACACACACACACACACACACACACACACACACACACACACACACATATATATATATATATATATATATATATATATATATACTTAAATACTCATTCAGCTACTATATATCACTCGCTTTGTATAACACTCAAACACGCATATAAAATATATATAACACTTTTGTAAATGCTTTTATTCGTATAAACGTTATATATTTCTATATATAATATATTAATAACGTTTATTATAATGAAAATGTGTGTACATACACATACATACATACATATATATATATATATATATATATATATATATATATATATATATATATATATATATATATATATATATTCTAAACACACCGTATACACCGTCACCTACTTTTATTCTTTCTTAATACTTGTAAATACAACATTCATATCTTTTCAAATATATACATCTATGTATATCTATGTCTATCTATATGTAGATGTATAAATAACGCAAATGTATATGTGCGCGCATGCTCGTCAGCGACGCTAATCTACAACAAAAAAGAAATCTTTCAAAGCTGACAGGTCACAACCCCTTCACCGGACGCTTCTTACTAACAACCATTTAACTATTGGTCAGCCGATTTATATTAGACGTTTCATTTAATACGATCTGCCGTTCTTGCCTTTACCAGTTGTCGAGTTTTTCTTTTATTCTTGTGCTTTTCCCCTCCCCCATTCTCTTTCTCCCTGAGCGCCTCCCATCACCCCGCTTACGTTCCGTCTGTACGCCATAACTGAAAAAATTGATCTCATTCCGACCAAAAAGAACGGCCCTCATCATTTTTGTTTCCGTTGCTCGTTGAGTAATCATGCCGAATATATTCGACAGATAGGAACAAATTTAGACTGAACGACTATTTTGTGGTCAGTATTTCTTTTAGCTTCTTTTGCATTTGCTGGTATCAACTGATCTGCCCGAGGCACAAACATTCGCTAATCTGACTTTATCCCAACTACGATTGTAGTTTTTAGATTTATGATGATTGTTACGATTATTATTATTATTATTATTATTATTATTATTATTATTATTATTACTATCATCTATGCGTTTTCACACTAGTAATGACTGACTGCTTACACTGGGGTCAAGTAACGCCAAGTTTCCTCAAATTGCCAGTGGACCTCCCAGATTTCAGTTTGACATTCTTTTTCAAAGTTTTTTATTTAACACATTGACTGCAAGCTACAAGATAACTTATGGCTGATAGTTTTTTTTTTTTTTTATTATGACCACGAGCTATCTCGTTCGTTTTGGTGTGTGAGTGCTGGGGGCGGGGAGTAATGCAGTGCAAGTGTGCAACCATAATTTCTAACGTTCTGGAAGGACACAGCACATAGAAGATATTGTATCAACGAATACACAAAGGATACTTTTCCCGATGCTTACTTTTTCGTTGCTTCTCTTATGTCCTGTATACTAGCAGGACGTAAGCAATCATGGGTCTCCACAACGTCTTGTCCTTTGTAATCTTTGTTTTTTTTCTCTTCGCCATCGTTTTGCTATTCATTCACTAAAACTCGTTATGTACGCTGTTCGCTATTTTCTTCTTCTTCTCTCTTATCCTGTGTGCGTTAAAATCTCCAGATCCCCTTTCCTCATCATGTCTCCCAGGGTAATGAAAAGTGGGAAATGTT